CTTGAATAGCAGCGAGAAAAGGCGAAGCAAGAGGCTAGTTCATTAGCAGAGGCAGATATAGATTGAATTCCGATTGCGGTCGCCTAGAAGTTGCGTGGTCCAATTTCTAAACTGGGAATATGTAACATATTTGTAAATAAGATCGTGAATGGTAATTATGCGTTTAGGCGTGGACAATTTCTTATCAATAATATTCATTATCGATCAGAGTGAAAGGCATTGGGAAGGAATGCTTCCTTGCCTAGTAGACCGAAAGGTGCTTTTATCGTCCCGAACAGTGAATTGGTGGATGGCGTCTTCTTCGCTCTCCATTGTGGGGCTAATGTTTCGAATTGTGGAATGGCTTTTGATACGGTTTCTGTTATAATGTGGGAGTAAAATAACAAATGAGACGAAGCAGTACGGAATTATGTCCTTCAGCATACCTTTGGTAGTGGTATGTGCGTCGTTAGTGTTGAGAACGTGAAATGGTTGGTATTTCAAGTTTGGAAGTTTATGTGGTGGTAAAATAAACGATAAAAGAGTCTTATTGATTTGTTATGCGCAACTCAGCTGATATTTAGCAGTTACTCTTTCTTAGTGATCTGAAGAATGATTGATCGTCAACCTGTTAATACTTGTGTCGGAACGTGGATCAACCGGTTTGCTGAACAAATCCTTCGTGCAGTAGTAACGCGTGTCGTCATCATTTCGCAGGGTATTCGTGCATTAGCGGTCGGCGTGTTCGCTTTGAGGCAAGAAATCCAACGTCTATAAGGAATGGAGTATCGTTAACTAGCGATTAATAGAGAAAACCATCACGATGCAGACGGATCCTGGTATTAGTTTACTTTTAGCTGGGCTTCTTGTTGGGAACGCCGGCCTCAACGTGGGTGACCTTGCCAGAAGGTGTATCCACCCGCTATTCGTCACAAGCGGGTACCCAGAAACACCTTCCAGCCACGAGGCGGTACACCGTTGGCACCGTATTTTCAGTGCTTCTTATTAGTCTGTGTTGGATTAGGAGTGCCGTACTTATATAGTGAAGTTGAAGAGTTACGATTTTCTTTTAAGGTCTAAGTATGAACATATTTTAGAAGCAGTTGTGATAAATGAACTAGTGAATGAACTAAATTCTTGAGTAATGGTTACTACGGGTTTCGAGTTGTGGATGTCGTTATCCCTACTTCATAACCTGTGCTGTTTATACATCTGACTCACGTAGCACATACGGACTGCCAATCTAATGTTATCTTCTATGCAGTTACGGTTTGTAATCGCCCAGTATGTGATAGCTGTAGGTTTGTGTTGATTATGATCCCACTTCTTCGGTGTTAATAGGTCACGTAAGCGGTGCTGGTGGTGGACGTGAAAGGTCAAGTGAGTGTTTTGCTGTTTTTGATGGTTTCCAATTCATGTGCATTGTGTAGCCAAAGCTTTAGTGCTGTCCTTCTTCGGTTTTGATTCTCCAGCTGGATCATTAATGAAGTTTTTTCCTGTTTTCGATTTTCCAATTGGTATTTTCCATCAGTAATTCGCAAAAGTAGGTGATCCTATTTCAGAAGTCATATTTGGTAGCGATATCTATCGGGCTATTCATACTTCTTTTTGATAATGTGGTGGAGTGTTAATGTTTTTGTTAGTCAATGATTAACACCGAAGGTTAAGAATACGTCCAATATCCATGAATCGCGACCTCACGTCATACGCGATCACCTCAACTTTGGATCACCTGACGATATATAACTCGTATGAAGTGCTGAGATATTTGCAAAACTCCGGACCACAGGTGTATGCAGTGGGAAACGAACACGCGCTGTTGTCCTTACCGGGGAGCAGTGCACTTCACCACTACACCATCCTGGTCACCTGACGATACATAGATGAAAGTTGCAGGGTGGTAATTTAGTCCGATGTTTTAGCGCTTTCGCTTTTTTTAAATAGGATGTAGAATGGATTGTTGGCATGTTCTCCTGGTTTCTTTTTCCTTAACGTTTTTTCTAGTTTCCACATATCATGCCAGTTGTAAAAATGAATCTAAAAGTGCAACGTGCAAGTATCCTACACACGAACTGCTGAGTTCTGAAGACAACAGGATGCTGGCTGGTGACTCTTTACATCTTTGATGACATCTGTAACACGAAATGCAGGAATAGGTGGAGTATGTTGCCGGTGATGGCGTTAATGTCAACTTACAAAACACCGATCATGTTCGTAGGCCGGTAGTATAGTGCGCCATATTATAATTTTTTCTTGTTTTTTTTCGACGGAGAATGTTTAGTTTTTTGCTGATAAATCATCCAAACTACTACTCCACTAACAAATTTCTGACCGAGACGTATGATGTCAACAGCTGAAGTGCATCGGAAGATGAAGGATTGTGTGAGTGTGGTATGCACTTGCTACTGAGTTCCAAAATTACGAGCTTGTTGATAATCGATCATGCAATAGGTGGAGTATGTTGCCGGTGTTGCCGGTGAATATCTTGACGTTTCATATGTGAGGGAGGAAGGTGCTTTTCGAAAAATATTTCTCTTTTATGATCAATGGACAATTTTGATAGGTGATGACATTTCTACCACATTCTTATCCCACCTCACCTCTATTGCTCCGGACTGGTAGAGGAAGCTGTTTACAATTTTATTATTTTC